TACAACCTTGCCGCATGATTTGATTGGCTAACAAATAATCCGCAGAAAGGCAAGGAACACAGGAAGAATATTCTAGGAAATTTCATAGTATCCAATCAAATGTCACGGCGAGGTTTTGGTATTAATAGTGCGAGATTCGATTGGCTGGATCCCGAAATTCGAACCTACCCCGAGTACTGTACTGTAATTATAAATATTAACGAACCATGACGAGGACATAAATGCCTCGTCTTCACGGTGCAATGGCATGAGGGACAAATGGAAATTTGTCAAAGCAAACGTCGTTCGTTGAATAAGTCTCAAAACCAGTAGATGGCTGTGCTACTGTATACCAGCAATATTTACAATTTGACCATGTCACATCATCAAATAGTGTGTAACGTTAAATTGGTATTTGGAGCATGCAAAAAATACCGCCATCTATTTGATCAGGTCCGAGAATTTCAGTCAAAACACATTTGCTTCGTAAAAGTTCGAGTTACTGAAATAAACTGAGACACTAATACTAGTAGCAACTAACAAAAACTGTGCGACAAATTCAACTTTATTGTTACAGTAATGTCAAAATACACAAGTCAACTGCCGATATTTTCACCTACTGTACGGAAAACGCATGATGCGGAAGGCATCCATTGCAGCTCGATCTTGACGGTTCATGCGGTACGTCGTTGAGCTTCTACCTTCTTCCGCTTCTTTTCGTTGGCCATCATCCTTTGGTAGCGAGCCATGACGGGCCATAAATGCCTCGTCTTCACGGTGCAATGGCATGAGGGACAAATGGAAATTTGTCAAATTTGTCAAATCAAAATTCGTTCGTTGAATACTTCAATGTGTTTAAACAGCATTGCCAAACTTAATCTCCCTAAGTAATACATTTACACCTACATTCGTCCTGCCTCTACTCAAAATGAATGGATTTGAGGCAATTCCCTTCATTTTGCACAAGTACGAGTTTTATTAACCACTTGCACTTATAGATACTACGTAACCGACCAGTGATGTGCCGATTTTTTTCTTTTTTCTTTCGTGAATTCCTCATGAAGTATTTATCCTTACGTACACAAGGAGTTGATTATGTACACGATATTTCGATCAAGTTGGAGTATTTTTTAGGAAGTACAGACGACGACTGATTTTAAGCGACACCTTGTACTTCGAATTTGACCTTGAATCGTAATATGATTGTCTAAAGAACTTCGAACTTCGAGTTTAATTGTAGCCAACCACAAAGCAGTTCACAGTTTTGAACACAAAAGTATTCTATTTTAAGTCCAAGTGGATAATTCAAAATAATCGTGAAGAGCTGACGTTGTGGTGCAGTGTCAAATAGGACTATATTAGGTTTTATCCCAATACTAATATTGCCCAATGGGCTCATCCAATTCCTAATGCCTATGCAAAAGCATGTGCGTAGGGTGGCACTGGTTTTGAGAGGTTTTCAATAAATAGGTGGGGGTACCAATAAATACCGTGGGTGGGTGAGAGAGCCAGAAG